AATGAGACTGCAAAGCAATAGACCAGAAACTTATAAGTGAACCAATAAGTGTTTTATAATAAAGTGTTTTATAAAGTGTTCTACTGAAAATCTTGGGAAGAGAAGAATATAGATGATCTATGTCTGGATTTTTGACAGTTACCTAAGTGAACATCATCTGGCTTTTCTTATTTTCTTAAGTAGCATCATATTGAAATTACATTTAAAAAAGGACTAACATCTAAATGTGGCTAAGAAACAGAAACAGATGAAGAAGTACACTATGGAAATGAACAAATGAGCCAGAAACTGTTTTTAACATTCCCATAGAAAGTTAACCAATGCTACATATGAAGCAAATTGGGATTACACTAGGCAAGTTTAGCTTTCCTCCACAATTCACCATAAACTGCTCTACCCTGCTTTTCATTTGGCTTTCCTGACAGTAAATGGAGAAAAACACTTCAGAAAACTTCTATCAACAGCAATTTAGATAAAATTCCATTCTTCTAAGAATGAAATTGGTAAAATATAATACCTGCTTGGACCTCCACTTAAAAACAGGTTAGCAAAAGTGCTCAGTTAAATCATGAAAGTGCCCCACCTAGGCCAACTTTTACCCAAAGACTTAGTATAGGGAGAAGCAGCCAAGTCTGACAGATCACACACACCACATCCTGAGAACGTTAAGTATTCCAACATGATTCATCTTAACATTAAGAATTTCACAGTACAACCCCTTCAATCAATGTGAATTAGCTAAAGCGATCTAGTTATTATTTCCTCTTCAGAAATCTGGTATTTAGTGGATTAACAAGTATTTAACCACGTTTTCCCAAAACACTTTAAGGACGTAAAAACTAAATGTATTTATTCTGCTCCTCTATATCCAACTACATAACATGGCTAGGCAACTTTTTCCTAACAAAGTTATTTTGTTTTCCAAGATAATGCTACTGAAGGAAGCACCTTAAGCAAGTGGAGTTGTTCTTTACTGAATTCTCATTCATGGGGAAAGATTTGCTCTAACATACATACTAGATATACCCTCATTGAGTACCCAATATGCCACTACAGCATTTCTCTTTGAGTTGGCAGCCAGAGTTCAGGTTTACACTGACAAAGATTTGGTGTTTACCCCAAATATTGCCACTACATCCTAACTACTCAGTACAAGATGTTACGTGGCTGGTGTATGTGTGTATAATCAGCTAGCTGGCATTAATGAGGGCTGTGGACTCTCTAACAGGAAAGTGGCAATAAAAAAAGTAGAAAACAAATGATTATGTCATACATTACTATTTCGGTGGACCTTAACTACAAAACAGAAATCACTAAAGTACAAGGAGGATAAAAATAAGACTTCTGAACTGAGCCAGCAACATCTAAATGACTGGAACCAAGTACGATGAAATTAATATGGGGTCAAACTGTAGTCTATTACACCCCCATATACACTTAAGTTGCACTTTAAAACAAAGTCATCAGTACAATCTTCAATACAAATAGATGTCAACCTAGGACACCTTACATAAACTCCTCATTGCAATCAAATAATTCACATAGTAAAAAATCTGAAGAACTGTTGCTTCATAATTTTTTAACATCTCATATCCACTATGCCTCATAATAACCTGTTAAGACAGTAAGAGGCGCCTCTGGTTGTCAGGCACTGAATACCCTATTTTATTTAAAGTGTATGTTGCTTCCCTCATTTTAACTAAACTCAGGATGAGGCTTACAACCACATTTTTATTTCTTAGTATTGAAACCACCATTGCAAAACTATAACTGATATGATGAAAAAGATCTGACCTAACCAACTCCATCTTGCTTCTAACCTGCAAGTTGTCCTTGTTCATTCCTGCACATAGGCTAAACTAACTTTGGGAGGAACTTAGTTTATAGTTTAAAACGAAGACAGTAACAGACCTTTCCCAAAACAATTGGGGCGTTAACAGACTCCAGTTTGGCCCCATATTAATTTCATCTAGTCCCCTTCTTTCCTGGGGACTAGACTCCCTTTGTAGGCTAACAAATCAGCCACAAGATTAGGAATTAGGGTTTAGGAGTCATGCAGCTGAAAGCTACCAGATTCTGACCCTTACAAACTATGGCATCACAGATTCAATGAAACATTATATGTTCTTTGAACCTCTTATTACAGACTACCCATAGTATGCACACCAGAATTACTAGTGTTTTTAAAAATGCAAACTCCTGAGCCAACAGCAAACCTGGAGAAACAGAAACCCTAGGAACGGGATTAAAACTCCTGCACATTTAACAAGCTCCCCAGATGACTGTCATTCATGCTCAGATCTGAGCTTCAGATCTACAGCACACCAAACCAAACAGACAAGGATGGCTACAAGGGTCAAGGAAGGCTACAGGGGTTCAGGGGAGGGGGGTGGTGGTGATATGGCAGATCTAAACAAAAAAATAAAAAATAAAAAAAAAAATTAAAAGTAAAATTCATATGACAAGACTTTTCATTCTTTCTTGAACAATGAATTGAAATCAACCTGCCTCCACAACAGGTCTTCAGTTTCAGTGGGCAATAAACCTTGAGAAATGTGGTAAGGCATAAGGAATAACTCCTGTTTGCAGTGGTTAAACCTGAGTACTAGACTTAAAATTACTCAAATATTTTCTGGCAGTTTTTATATGCCAAAGCAGAGTTTTGCTTACAAAGTTACAATCCATTACATACATTTCATTTGAAGAAATGAAATAGTGACTGGATTTCTGTAACCGAGAGCATAAACATGCCCAAAACCGAAAACAGGACAGAACTCTACAAAATGACATTCTGTTTGGCCTGCTGAGTTCTATAATTGTTTAAACAGTTGTAATCTAAATGACCTTAATCCTACAGTACACCATCCAGGGAAGGATGGATAGATGAATGAATGGATGGACAGAAAGAAACAGCTATTCTTGGAAACAATAACAACAATTAAATGAAACACATTTGAACTATTAGAGGTTGAACATAAATGGAATAATGAAGTGTCCTGCTAGTAAACTACTAAAATGAGATTAGGGAAAGGTACAGTTACATACACTAGAACTGCTATCTTCACCTCATGTAACTATTTTACATTATACAAGAAGTTATAGGTTTCTGCTCTAAATGCTGAAGAATTCCCTTAGGTATCCACTCTACTTATGCTGTTTTTAAATAGTGTGAAGAATTTAAGTGCACCAGGATAGACATAATTCCATCACTCACACTCTCTTAAGTGAAGAAATGGAGAAACAGAATAGTTCCAATGCCCAATGGCCCTAGCTGAAATGCAGTATTGGCACACTATTTGTACCACAAAAACTGAATGCGAATTAGCACTGCTAAAGTAAATTAAAATGGAAACCAGGCCTGAGGAATCCCTGAGCAGACACCAATTAGGCCTTATAAGTGACCTCAACCTTACTTGATTTGCAAATATAAGTGAAATTTGAAGTTACTTCTTATAAATGCCTATGCTACAGAAAAACAGAACTTAAGCTCAACCAATCAGAAACATCCAACAAACTTCAATTACACATCTAGGGGACCTTCCAACAGGACAGACCAAATAAAACAACTGTGTAACTGCAGCCAATCAAATATTTTCTTTGCTTTACGTCTATGACCCACCTATCAAAGCCTCCCTCCTGCGTTCCCCTGATGGAGCTCCCAGATCACTTCTGGTTTGGAGTTGCTCAATTCATGAATTGTTGTTTGTTCAAATAAACTCTGAAGTTTATCATGACTTGGTTTAACTTTTTTTAACAGCAACCACCTGCAAAGAACAGACAGTAAGATGCTTCTGTGTAAAATTTTACGAAAATGTATTAGTCTGTTTTTTGCACTGCTACAAAGAAATGCCTGAGATTGGGTAATTTATAAAGGAAAGAAGTTTAACTGCCTCACAGTTCCACACGAGTTGGGAGGTCTCAGGAAACTTACAATCATGGTGGAAGGGGAACCAAACACCTTTTTCACAAGGCAGCAGAAGAGAAAAAGGTGTTTGGTTTCCCCTTCCACCATGGAGAGCGCAGGAAAAACTGCCATTTATAAAACTATCAGATCATGTAAGAACTCACTATCACCGAGAACAAGGGGGAAGCTGCCCCCAAGATGCAATCACTTCTTTCCCTTCACACATGAGGATTACAATTTGAGATGAGATTTGAGTGGGGACGCAAAGCCAAATCACACCATGTATCAACTGAACCAACTTAAAAATCCATTTTTACTGACTTCGTGTCCTTCAAAACTCATTTAATAATCAATTAACTGCAGATAACGAATGGTATGTTAGGTAGCACACCTGATACCGTAACACTACCTTAGCAAGCCTTGTAGAGATTATGATGAAAGTCAATTTAGAGATGTTCATATAACTTTCTCAACAGCACATAAAAACTCAATAATTAAACGAAATGTGGTATATATCAATGGAATGATATATAGGTAATGGTGTATATAAATGGAATATACAATGGAATATTACTCAACCATAAACAGTAATGAAGTACTGACACCTGCTACTGATTTAGCGGATAAACCTATAAAACATGCTAAGCGAAAGAAGCCAGACACAAAACAACACATATTGTATTATTCAATTTTTATGAAAATCCAGAATAGATAAATTCATAGGGACAGAAAGCAGATCAGTGACTGCCAGCGATTGGCAGGGAGAAGGGAATGAGCAAAAACTGCTCACTAAACACGGGGTTTCCTTTTGGGGTGATGAAAATGTTTTAGAAAGGTGACAGGTGCATAACATTGTGAACGTGCTAATAAATGCCACAATTTAAAATGAAAAATTTGGCCAGGCATAGGGGCTCACATCTGTAATTCCAGAGCTTTGGGAAGCTGAGGTGGATGGATTCGCTTGAGGGCAGATTTGGCCAGCCTGTGCAACATAGCAAGATCCTGTCTTAAAAAAAATAAAAATTAAAAAATTAGTCATGTGTGGTGGCACATACCTGTAATCCTAGCTACTCCACAGGCTAAGGTGGCAGGATTACTTGGGCCCAGAAGTTCAAGGCTGCAGTGAATTATGATCGCACCACTGTACTCGAGTCTGCAGAACAGAGGGGGATCCAGTCTCTGTAAATAATCCAAAAATAAAATGAAAAATTATGTATAGGAATTAAATTTAATTTAAAATAGAAAACTGGGGGAAAAAATCTCACTGAAGTGAAGCTAAAAAATCATGAACAGCAAATTTTAAAAATTAGATTGGAAATAAGGGAAATGTAAGAATAGCTTCAATCAAACGGAGTAGGCCAATTAAGAATCAAATGGAGGGTACATTGGAGAGACTCAGAGGTATCAGAACATTTAATTTCTTCCTTTGAGAGGAAGTCAGCTAACTGTATTTCAAAGAACTGTATTACAAGAAAGTACAAAACCTTTTAAAGCTTCAAGATTTGGCGAAATTACCTGGTTCAGTCTCCTCAATTAGATTAATAAAGCACTGTATGATATTAACTAATCTAATCTGGTCAATGCCATACTTGAAATAACCAAATATAGAACCAAAGCTTAAAATCCTGATCTTTTGATCCCAAGAACAGAGATGCTTCTGGACTAAATTCAAGACAAAGTTTTGCTATTGTACCAAGGTCTCACAAAAATCTATCTAGCTCAGAGCTAAGATAAAAATCTTTTGCTGTTTGTGTCTTCCACCTTTCACCTTTAAGAAATGGGTATAAAAATTAAAAAAAAAAAAAAAAAAAGAAAGAAAGAAACCTCCCTGCCTTGGAGAAAATAAACTAGCTTTTTGAGTGCCCAGGCCGTCTTATTCATAGTATTCATGACATCTACAATTACTGGCACATGGGTAGGCACGCCAATATTTTTAAGAGTATAAAAATTTTTGAAAAATGAGATGAATCATTTAAAACCTAAACTATACAATGAAAAATAAGAGTCTTATGATACCTCCACAGGGAACATTACTGCTTGCCATTCCATAGCCTCTTAGCCTTTTGACTCCCTTTTCAAATTTCCTTTTTCTTTTTAATGCATCTTCATAAATTATGAAATATTAGTTGGCAATGCTTAAGGCAGCAATCCATATTAAAACTTTGTAATTATAATAAGACATCCATTAAGTTTATTTTTAAAGTCACTGTAACCCAGCAGTGTTGCCTTATTTTGACTCCTTTTTGAAACAGAAGCCCCTTACAATGAGGATTTTGAGAAACCTGTCCTGTGTCCTTCTTAAAAGTTCCCACTGGTAATTAATTCAGAGAGGTCCTCCGGTTAAGAGTCGCTGGACTGAACTCCTTTTATTGGCTCCAACTCTTATTTCTTCCTATGAAGAAACGCTACTCTTTAATGAGCTGAGAAAACATTACAAGAAATCTGTGAAACAAAGCTCCTAACACCTGCATAAAACTGAAACCTTGTGACTTAATTGGTAAACAGCCACGAAACGCAAGAGACTAAAAGCAGCCCCTAGAAAGAGGTACAGGTCAATGAAGTGAACAAAACCAGATGCTAATTTGCTGATTCTGCCAACTTCTTGTTAAATGACTTTCAGTAAGCGATTAACTTTTATCTTCTAAATTCAGTAGAGATCTCCTGATAGTAAGATACTGTATGACTAACAGTAATGCTTCCCAAAATTTAGACAATGTAATTGCAAATTGGTCACAAGTTCAAGAAGTCTGAGCCTCTGCTGTCAGCATAGACATTTACTCTCTGGGAGCTTATATTTTCATTTGTAAAATTGGGAAAGATAAAAGAGACCTATTCACTGAGCTGTTTTAAGAATAAATGAGCACATGAAAGCATTAGGCAGCGCCTAGCACAAAGTAAGCAATCTAGTAATTATTTACATCATTGTATCCATATATATGGAGATACGTGTGTGTATAACACACACACACACACACACACACACACACACACATTTAAACTTCATTTGTTGATACAGAGTCTCGCTCTGTCGACCAAGCTGAGGTGCAATGGCGCAATCTCTGCTGATTGCAACCTCCACCTCCTGGGTTCAAGTGATTCTCCTGCCTCAGCCTCCCGAGTAGCTGGGATTACAGGGGTCTGCCACCACACCTGGCTAATTTTTGTGTTTTTAAGTAGAACCAGAATTTCACCATGTTTGCCAAAAAGAAATAAAGAAAATGTCCTATCAATTAGATAGCAGTTCTGTATTACAGGCAATATTTTTTCTTTAAAAAAAAAAAAAAAAAAAAAAGGTAGGAGGATGATGGAAACAGCTCCACCCACAAATAGAACAGCTGGGGAGCTCAATCTCAAATTGCCAATCCTTATTCAGATCTAGGGGCACTAACCATCATCCGGGGGCCCCAGCTGTGAGGACAGGAGCAGACAAATGGGAAGAAAAAGACAAGACACCGAACACCAAAGGGCTGGATAGGCTGTAAAGAACCGAAAGTACCTCTAGTACAGGAGACACTAAAACTTTACAAGCCAGTCAAAACGGCCCCCTATGGAGCTGAAACGCAACACCCAACTCCGTCCCCGCCTCCCAGAGCCCTCAGCCTGCACGCTGCGGGGCGCGAGCCACGGCCGACGGGAGGAAGGCGCGCCCCAGGTGTCCGCCCCAGGTGTCCGCCCCAGGCCCGGCCGCCGAGAGCCAGCGCCAGGTGCAGACGCCGCCCCGTCTCCGCGGAGCCCAGGGATGCCCTCGCCGGAGCGGCCCTCCGGGACCCCAGTCCCTCCTGCACCCTCCCCACCGGCTGGACACGCCGTGACTACGCGGCCGGGCCTCGGGGCCCGCCCCCGGCCGGCGACCGCGGAGTGCACGGAGGCTGAGGACGAAGGTGGGCGTCCGGGGCCCCCGGCCTCCTCCATCCCTCCCCGAACCTGAGCCCCGGCTCCGTCCGCCTCCCAGCCGTCTCACCGGCCTCCCGCCCGCCTCTCCGCTGCGCCCGCCCGCCTCTCCGCTGCGCGCGACCGCCTTCCGGCCTCCCGCGCTCAGTCCTGCCGGAGGCCGACGGGAACCGCCGCCGCCTCCAGCTCGCGCCTCCGCTTCCTCCCAGGGCCCTCCGGCTTCCCCTCACCCCTGCGAGTGGCCGGGAGAAAGCCAGCTCGCCGCTGGGCCTCCTCCCACGCTTCCCCGCCGCGACCAATGGGCCCCCGCCGCCGGGGAGCCGCGCTCGCCCCCTGGCTGTGGAGGACCGAGCGGGCGCCGGGGTCGGCCGGAGGGAAGCGCCGGAGAGCGGAGGGAGGGGTCTGCGGTCCCGCCCGCCGCCCCCAGCTCGGCGCTGCACAATCTGAACTTGCCACGTGGGAGCTGCCGCGGCGGCGGCCCTACGCTGGGTGTCACTACGGGAGGGAGAAAAATGTGTTACCGCCTCCTCCTCACCATTCGCACGCACAAAATCCCAGCCTCAAGGCCAGAACATTTTAAATGACCCACCCATCCTAGAGATTCACCCGCTAGGTCATCTTAGATATCCTGAGAAAGCTGAGATGGTCAGATCAACCAAGGACCTTGGGTTATTTGCCGTTTGGCTTCCTGAACCCTAGGAAACTGATCCTGAAAATTCTACCTGTCCAGCGTATTAGCATTCTGATAATCTTAAATGCACCAGCCAAGGAGAAAAGTAGTGCTTGCGTTTTCCAAGTCATGTTTATTTTTTAAACTGTGAGCTATGCAACAGTTAGAAATGTTTTTTCTCAGGACATTTTCCCACAATTGTGTTAATTGGGAAATTAATCCAAATCTTACTATACAAGACCCGAGAATGCAAAATATTTTATAATTCAGATACATATTATAAAATAATGAATAACTATTGCCTATTTGATAGAATATTGGGATCATTAGTGGTTGCAGAAATTAAATTGCATTAAACAATAGGGTTTGACTAAGTATGTTAATATAGAATTGATATTCTACCAAATTTTAGCTTTCCTCCAAAAATATTTTAAAAATTAGATTGTGTAAACTAGTAATAACTGTGAATTCTGGAGTGATCCATGTTCAGGGGAGAAAGCATGAAATGAATTCTGAGTTTCTTCCATGTGCCAATATTATGTTATTTGTGTGTTACTTAAACAAAAAACTAAGACTCCAAAACTGAGTTTAAATATCTTGCTCAAAAATACAAGGTAGTTAAGTTCTGAAGTTGGAATTCCAGTCTAGTTTCATATAGCTCCAAATAAACAAAAAGTCACTTTGCCTGTTATAGTGCCAAAAAACCATAGCACTTATTGTACACATGCCTCTCCTAGACTACTGTGTCTCACTGAAAGAATTTATGAAGCTTCTTGAGTAGGGAGGTCAGGGTGAATTTCTGAAAGAGCAATTTGCTCTTCAGAGCACGGGACGTATTCTTATAGCACCACACCTGAAACAGTTCCTGTGCGTAAAGTCTAATGTGTTAATATCCTATTCTCCATTGACCATAAGCTATAGCTTAGAACCCTTTGGTAGGTAATGAAATTAGTAACAATGGGTCACAACCAACATTTCTTTGCTGTTGATTCGCTGAAAAAAAGAACAAAAACAGAGTTCAAAGCATAAATTCAGGATAAGTATTCATGAAACATTTGTACAAGTGTTATGTGTGGGGGAGTGTCTGTGTGTCTATATCCTGGGATACACTAGAAATTATATTTCTGAATATGGGTTTCAATTTTTTTAACATTGGTAAATTACTTCTTTAGGACTCCTGGTAATTAGCCAGTTCTTCCACCTGAAAAAGCAAATATAACTTCCTACTTCTACTTGGCAGGAAGTGGGGGAGCCAGGAGAAGATAATTAGGATTAGTGATTAAGTTTAATAAAACCACAAAGAGCTTTACAGCTCCAGGAGATAGGTACAAGCCAAAGGCATTGCTGTTACATAATAATAGTTACTGATAATTTATATTTATAAAGCTAATACTTATTGTATATTTACTGTGTACCAGGCACTTTTCTAAGCACTTTATGTATATAGACTTATTTAATTCTCACAATAATCCTACAAATACAGAGGAGAAAAGTGAAACTTGCTCAAGGTACTTCTGCTATGACCAGAAAGAGCTAAGATTCAAACCCATGTGCTCTTCAAAACCCACCTCTTGTTGCCTTGAAAAGAAACTTAGAGAGTGGGACATCCGACTTCTGAGTGGGAACCTTTGTAGCAGCAGCAATGAAAGAGAGGATTAAATATGGATGCTGTTGAGAAAAGCAAGAAAATTTGTGTTCAGAAGTGTGCCTAGTGCTACACCGTGGAAAGGGAGCCAAGCACAAGACTGGGCCTAATCTCCACGGTCTCTTTAGGCAGAAGACAGGTAAGGCCATTGAATTATCTTACACAGATACCAGTAAAAACAAAGGCATCACCTGGGGAGAGGATACGCTGATGGAGTATTTAGAGATTCCCAAGAAGTACATCCCTGGACAAAAATGATCTTTGCCAGCATTAAAAAGGAGGCAGAAAGGGAAGACTTGATAGCTTATCTCAAAAAAAGCTACTAATGAATAATAATTGGCCACTGCCTTATTTATTACAAAACAGAAATGTTGCATGACTTTTTTATATGTACCATAATTTAATAGACCTCATACACCAGAATTCAGATCATGAATAACTGACAGAATATTTTGTTGGGCAGTCCTGATGTAAAACTATGACTGGCTTGTGGTTAAACTAATATGTTCAGTTTTTTAAATTTTAATAGTAATTCCAATTTAGTAAATGCTATCACTATTTACCTCTTCTAAAAATATGATTAGACTGACTTTTTTGGGAATACTCAACTTTTCACAAAGATGGGAATGCCATCTTAAAACTTACTGGCGATTCTTTTTATATTTAGATTTACATAACTGGTTATATGAATATATTCAAATACTAGGGAAATTCCTTCACTATGTCAGAACCAAGCAAGATTCAACCATGTTTTGTATTCATTTGCCTCTTAAAGGCAAGGGTTGAAGATAAGGTCACAATGTCTACTTTATATTTTTGGCCTTAACTATGCCAGTCTAATTAGAATTCTCTGTATTCCTTTTACTTATTGTAAGGCATTTTAGTGTGGTTTATATGTAATATCAAATAAAGATCAACACTTCTCACATTTTATAAATGATCTATTAGGTCACATGCTTTTAAAATAGTAGCAAGTTAAACTCCACTCTTGAATTATTTCCAATCTAAATCAAACTAAGTTATAATTTAGGATTGTCTTTAAACAGCCATTCAGAAACATAGAGCTGTATAACTGCTGTGTACTTGTGATTGGGAATGGTGCTTTTGCCAGCTTAAAAGGGTTAAAGCCGAAGAGATATACACAAATTTTAAAATTATGTGTGATCATAAGACTTAATTAAAAGCAAAACCACAGATCATGATTAAAAAAAAAAAAGAATATTCTTTTTCTCTTCAATGGGTACCATATTTTATCTAAAAAATTTAACCCGTTTCATATTACTATGACTATGTAAGAATATATGTAAAAAATATATGTATATGAATTAGATAATACTGTTAAATACAAAGTTTACGAAAAGCCTTAGAATTTTAATTGTACCCACTCTCAAGAAGAAGAGTCCACTTGGTATCAGTTTTCTGGATATGAAGTAGTAAATTATATCCAAATACGGCTACCAACAATTCCCCCATTCCTCTAAGTTCATGCCACTTTGTTTTTTACCGTCAAGAGGTCATATCTATATCCCCTCCTCATATTCTCTCCTCTTGAACGTGGGCTGGCCCTGGGACTTATTCTGACCCATAGAATGCATGAAGGTGATCTTATGTGACTTATGGGCTTAGGCCTTAAGAGACCTTGAAGCTTCCATGTTCACTGTCTTGGGGATCTAGTCACCATATAGGAAACTCAGACAACTACTGAATAATGAGAGACTACATGCAGAAAGAGAGAGACCTAGCTATCCCCAACCATCCCAGCCACCTCCACTGAGGCACCAGCCATATGAGTAAAGTCATGTTGCTGTTGCAGCTCCAGCTAAGCTCCTACCTGAGTACATCACATGAGTGACTCCAGAGGGTACCACATGGGGCATAACTGCCCAGCTTAGACCAACAAACCCACAGAGGCTTGAAAAATAACATACTTTAGGGCAGGCGCTGTGGCTCACAAACACCTGTAATCCCAGCACTTTGGGAGGCCGAGGCGGGCAGACCACGAGGTGAGCAATCAAGAGATTGAGACTATCCTGGCCAACATGGTGAAAACTCATTTCTACTAAAAATACAAAAATCAACTAGGTGTGGTGGCACACACATGTAGTCCCTGCTACTCAGAGGGCTGAGGCAGGAGAATGGCTTGAACCCGGGAGGCGGAGGTTGCGGTGAGCCGAGAGAGCACTGCTGAACTTCAGCCTGGTGCCTGGTGACAGAGCAAGACTGTCTCAAAAACAAAACAAAACAAAACAAAACAAAATTTAAAAAAAAAGTTACTAAGTATTGTCGTAGCTTGTTACAAAGCAATAAATAACTGAATCAGGGAAGAAAACGTGTGGGGGTGGGAAAAGGTTGAACAACTCTGGTGGTAGGATTACTTTAAAATATTCAAGCATGTTGATACTGGATTATAAACTCAAACCTGTGGCAAGATGACCGGAATCTTGTCTAGCTTTTAAAGAACACATGGACACAGAGAGGGGAGCATCACACACTGGAGTCTGTTGGGGAGAACTAGGGGAGGGACAGAGCAGGGGGTGGGGAGTTGGGGAGGGAGAACATGGGGAGAAATGTCAGATATAGATGATGGGGAGGAAGGCAGCAAACCACATTGCCATGTATGTACCTATGCAACAATCTTGCATGTTCTTTACATGTGCCCCAAAACCTAAAACGCAATTATATATATATATATATATATATATATATATATATATATATATATATATATAAATGTGATATATATATATGTGAAAATAGCAGAAAAGAGAGAGAGGTAGAATAATGAAACTGATAAAACCGAAAGTAAATGTGTCAAATTTTAGATCTATACAGGGTAAAATACCACAACTAAGTGTCGTTTAAAAACTGTTATTCACAGTTTTTATAAGTACGTGAATTTAAAACCCTTAAACTTTATCCTTGCCTGTAAGGGCAAAATAGTACTGTTCAAAAAGCTGGAACCCACACAGATTTCCATGACACTGTATTTGATACATTAGCAACATAGCCTAAAAGATGTGGTTTAATTTACTATGAAATGTGTAAGATACGGTAGAATGGAATTATAGCAAATATATCTTTCTATAAAAAAGACTCTAAGTTTTCAATCTATTACCACTTTCTAGTAATATACAAGAAAATTCTAGATATCATAAACATTGGAATTTTTAAATGAATTGA